TTTCCCTATTTGAAATGCTTTCAAAGAACATACCTGGATGCTGTCTGTCCTGATAGCAACTACTAAATGAACATGTGAATCACTTTCCGCGTTAATACATTAAATTGCCATGTGTCAGGGAGTAACACCTTCTTACAGTAGCTTTATGTAACTCTGGTAAACAACTTCATCATTGGTTTTCTCAAAACTGAAATTTAATTCTTTTGACCGGTCCCATTGCCCTAAAATCTTTGCTAACTTGAATTTTCACTGTATAGATCTTGCTACAGTAACAGGATCTCTGTAATGGGTAAATACTGACACGCAATCTTCTGCTCGTCTATACTATGAAGCAATACAATTATTACCTTCGAAGACCATCAAACTGTAAAGAAATCATTTTGTCTCAAGTTTACATAAAGCTACATAGATGGTAAATCTTTCCTAACATTTCTTTATTCCACTGTCTTGTGTTTTCATGTTGAAAATACTTCTGCTTTTTCCTCTTGAGTGCCAACTTCTTACTAGAATGACTTCTTAATGTAATATGTTTACCTGGAATGTATTTTAACTATTTTTGTATAGTGTAAACTGAAACATGCACATTTTGTACATTGTGCTTTATTTGATGTGGAACATATGCAGTGTGATCCAGTTTTTCCATCATTTGGTTGTGTGACCTAGGAATGTTGGTCATACCAGACATTAAGTTAAAAAAAGAAAAAAAAAAAGACCACTGTTTGTTTTAAAATTTTTAATGTTTTTAGGAGTATGTGCTGTGAGGTGATCTGGAATTTGTCATTTTTTTGTCAAACTGTACTGCTCCTATTTATTGTAATGTAATAAAAAATAGTTATTGTGAGTTTCTGTCCCAGTTTGCTTTTTCTCTCCAAGAATTTCAGCACCTCATCTCTGTAACGGAGCATCCCATGAATTGCATGTGTTCGGCAGTTGTTCCCAGTTTATTTCTTGTACTTCTCATCGCCTGTCAGAAAGCTGTTGTCTTTGCCCACCGGTGTTCCCTTCCTCTCAGAGGGGGTGCCGCCACACTTCGACAGAACGCTTTCTCGCACCGATCCATCTCCTCTGGTCCGTGCTGCTTTTGCGTTCCGCGCTCTGCGCTGAGCAGAGCCTCACCAGGTGAGGTTTCACTTCTCAGTCACTGGGGCACGCTGCTTGGCCTGATACGCTGCTTGGCCTGTACCGTCTTCAGTCCTGCCCCAGAGACCTTGTCTGCATTGGTCTAACAGCAGTCGGCAAGTGTAAAATACTCCAAATAGCTATTCTGGGTTCGTTCCCAGGTACACGTTTGTTTTCTTTGATCATCAAATGCCTTCCATAAACGTACAGAAAAGACGACAGACATTCTTCAGTACTGACTGCGTCCTATGGGGAGGGGGGGGAGTGTGAACCTGCTACTGTTCTCTAAACTTAGACTTTGGCCCTTTGTAACCATGTCTGGATAATCTTTTACCAGTTACTGAGAAGGGTAGGTTACATTTTGTATATAGAGGCATTCATTCAGAATAGGTTTAACTGCAACATATTGTAGAGGAGTGAAGTTGATGTGGAGGGACTGTTTCTCCCATCAGTGTGGTGATAGAAACTGAAGCACGTACATTTCATCACAAGGTAGGGTACTGTCTATTTGCCATCATTTTTATTTTTTAATTCTGTTCTGCAATTAACGCGTGTGAAGACTTGCTATTGCCAACAGTTCTACTGCAGCGATTACTTACCTATATTTCAAAGATTATTTATGTCCCATCTCCAGTGTCATTTAGTTCTGGGGGGGGCGGGGGCGGGGCAGAAACACCAGCCAACCCTGGTATGTGCAGAGGATCAGTTCTGGCACAAGTTTGTGCTAGTCGAGCCAAGGCCTACAGAGTTAGCCATGGAGCAAACATCCATAGTCAAACTTCTCTTCCAGGGGAGAGGATCAAGTTCTGTATTCCTGCTACAGCAGCTACACAAAATCAGAAATCGGTACTAGCAGGAATTGTTTTCAGGGTTTAAGTGCTTAAACCGCTATTGTTCAAACTCGCCCCTTTCCTGACCCCATAGTCTTCTGACACAGTAAGAGGGCGCCTCCGCCAGCCTGCCAGCGTGACGCTTCCACGTTAAGCGGATGTAGTTAAAGTCTTTAAGAATTTACTTTACTTTTGAGAAGTTGCTCATTTACGGTGGAAATGAATCATTAAACGTGGTAGACTTTCAAAACCAGATTAACCTTCTAGGTCACAAGAGAAGCGTAGCACCTCGAATCGGAATTCAAACACACGGCTATGGATGGGGTAAACGTAAGAGCAGCTATCTATTGAACATGCACATTGGAGTGAAACAGAACAGAATCATATTACCACTACTTCCTGCAAGATCGGTTTCATACATGAAGTTTTAGTTCAAGGAGGTCAAAAGTAGTTGAGAAAAACCTATTATCCATACAATACAAAACCCAAATCCTTCAAGCGACTACTTAAGGGGAAGCAAAGTCCCAATTTGTACTTCAGATGGGTTGGAAGGATTTACGTTTCATTTCTTCTGAGGTTACAGCTCTTTTATTGTTTATTTCTACGGATTTGTATCATTACATGCAAAGTCATTAGCACCAGTTACTGATTGTCATCACTGTAGTAGCGCTGTTTCAGAGCTCTGTATTTTCTGAGAAAGTACAAAGCCTCCAACTCTTTTATAACAAATTCTCCTCGTGCAATTAGTTGCTTTATTTTTTCAGGATCTTTCACATCTTTATTTTTTAGAAAAGCTGCTTTCAAACGGCTTCTAAAGTAGTCTGCTCCTTTGGGATACTCCCTTCCAAGGTACAGCAGCTTGAAAAAAAAAAAAAGAATTTTTTTTTAATAGATCGGGTGTGCAGTGTAAGGGTTTTGTCTAGTTAAGAAAAGTGCTCGTGGCATTTAAGACACTTACATTTTTGTACAGATTCAACACTTCCCCTCTTAAAGAACTGGCCATTCTCACATTTCAGTGAATTCTCTTTATTCTCGTCTGATTTTTTTTTTTTTTTTAACCTGAAGAACAAGCAGTGTGACATTAGCCTTCCGTGGGAGTCAGTGAATCCCAGCCCCATCCTCCGCAGGAACCGCACAGTCTCTAACCAGGCTCCTCTCTCCTACTGAGCCCTGCCTGCTCCGTTATCTTCTGGCTCTACTCCCTCCCTCTCTCCTCCTTTCGGCTTCTTTTAATTTTTGCTTCCGTTTAGCTTCTCCTTCTCTTCTCCCCTTCCACCTGCCCTCGGCTCAAACATAAAGCAAGGAGCCTCCAGAACCTTTCAGCTACCGTAACGCTTGCGTATCTTCGTGCTGCGCATCGGCTGCTCTCTTCAGGCGCTGACGGCCTTCCGCCTGCCCCCGAGCCCGGCGGCTCCTGTGGCCCTCGTCTGCTACGGAAGCATTTCTATCTATATACACGGGCGTATATAGACATACGGCGGCAAATGTATATCTATATATATATATATAAAAAAAAAAAAAGAGACAACTGTGGGAATT